TTAGCCATTGCCACTCTCATACACTCCAAAGGAAAGACGTGAAATTCCATAGATTGCCATGGACTATCTCAAAACCTGGCTGATCGGGGAAAATAGCAGAGAACACACATAGACAACTCTGTTCCTTGGTATTTTGAGAAGGGTGACAAGGGACAAACAGGGTGCTTGGAGAGAGTAGATGCCTGGCCAAATGAAAAGACTGATAACTGCTGGATCCAAAATGCAACTCAAAAGCAGAAGGAAACTCAAGACAGCAAACATTTCAGCCCTCTGCAAATTCATCAAAGGCCTGAAACAATAGGAGAAATGTTCATGCTTGAAAAACTGCTTAACTTTGGGTGGGTGAAAGTTGAATTTGTGGCATTTTGCCTGGGGCACACACACACACACACACACACACACACACACACACACAATCCATCACATCTTTGGCCATTGGTGAGCACTGCAGCCCTCAGCCTCTCTTCCCTTCCCACATGTCGGAGCTGAAAGTTTCCAATTCTATACAAAGTTGGTTCCTGTACAACCAGCCCCCACCTCAGAGGAACCCAGCGCCCTCCAAGAGTAACCTCAGGAGAACAGAAGGTGTTCATATTGTCACGTGAGAAGTGGTGTCTCCCGGGAAGTGTCTAAGGAGTTTCCAAGGAGCAGGGATAACTGGACTCAAGGCCAGAGGGGTTCTTGGCATGTGCCTCATTTAGAGGCCCAGACAGGGGCTTATTTAGAAAGTAGGCAGTCATTTAAGGAAGGATGCAGGCAATCTCCAGGGAGAGAGGCCCTTTGGGAGTTCTCTTAAAGGAAACTCATTGTGGGGTGGATATGGGAAGGTATATAGGAATGATATCAGTCTGGTGACCTCAAGATGGCTTTTGATAGTTTGGTCAACCTCCAGATCCTTAGGTATAGTCTTTGTTATCTGATCAATAGACTTCACAGTAAACCCCCTACATTATCGGTTCCTGAAGGCATCATACCTCTTTGTTAATATAATTATTGGGGGGAAAAATATCACTGCACACATAGATTTATAGATTTCTCAGGAATTTGGGAGTAACAGATCTAGAAAAGAGAGTCTCAGGACAGTCCAGGAAAAATATGTAGAACTTCTGAATTAAAATGTTCCTTTCTTGTCCTTCCTTTATGTCTCCTTTTTACCCGTTTTTTATTTCTTCTATCCTACCTCACCCCCTACCAACTTAATCCCTTAATCATAAGGGACAATGAAGTTTGAAGATCTGTCTTCTAGGGTCACTTTGGACTGATAACAGACAATGACCCTGCCTAGGCAAGGACTGAACATCTTGTCCTGTCTAATCTACAGGGGACAAAGAAAGGCCAGGATTTGTTGGGTGTAGAACCATTCTTTGATAACCTTGAAGAAGAGTCACATGCCTGTGAGATATTAACCTCCTCCCCATCCCCATGACAGTCAATAAGCACAAAGAGTGAGAGAGTCACTGAGTGGTACATATAAGCAAACACCCTTGCTCAGCTTTCTCACTTCTTTTGCATAATACTTGTAAATATTCTAGAGGTTCATGGAAATATTGATTGCAAGTTTTGTTCGAGTCTTGGGATGGATTCCAGACTTGTCAAGGTCTTGATTCTGCAAAATCTCAAGAGGGACAGCATGAATTCTAGATTCACAGATTCAGAGAGTGTGCCTCTGTGACTTAACAGCTGTGGGAATGCTAAGGAGAACCAGAAAGGGGCCCTTTCTTTTGGGGTCAGAAGAAGTTTTCCATAAAGCATCTCATAAGGGCTCGTTGGAGAGAGGTTTAGGAGCAGTTCTGATTCTTAACCCAGCAATAGGCTGTAGAAGTGACCAGGACTTTGAAGTTTCTCAGCATTGTTTTGCCAACGTAGTTAAGTCAGCCCCCTGGACTTTTCCTGGGGATCAAGGGTGCCAGGAGGTTTGAAGATCGTGAGCAATGCCAACAGCTTAACACCTCCTGGGATACCTTTCAGACAAAGAAATGTCCATTGTCACTCTGAAGTGACCTAGCAAGTCTAAATCTAGGGATTATTTCTTTTAATAAAGGTTTTAATGACTTCTTGGGCCTTCTCAGTTGGGTGGGGTATACTTCTATCCACCCAGAAGAGGTCTCAGAAAAAACTAGGAAGAATTCAGATTCTTCCTTTATGTCTCCTTTCTAGCTATTTTTAAAATTTCTTCTATTCTACCTCAGTATCACCTCCACAAAATTCTAAGGAATTTGAGAGCACTATGTCAGGAACCAGGGTCCCAGGCCAGATATGAGAATTGAAGATTCTCCTTGTACACTTATCTTCAAGACTTTCAGGAATTCTGTCTCAGTAAATGGGGGTAGAGACCAAATGTACATTTCCTACTTCATCACAATAACACAATAACAACAAAAAGTCAGTATGGAGGAACACAGGGGAAAAAGAAGATGTATTCAAACCAATAGCAGAATGGCCAGCGTGAATCCATTTGGTGTAAGTTCCCTGGACAGCAGCAGGAGGTGTGGCCCTAATGGATAACAGGCAGAGAGTCTTCAGATGCCTGGTCCTGCTCCAGGCTCTGCAGGAGTGGGTGTTGTGGTTTGGATGTGAGTTGTCCCCCAATAACTCTTTTGTGAGACAATGCAAGAAGGTTTAGAGGAGAAATGATGGATCATGAAAGCCTTAACCCAATCATTGAATCAATCCCCTCATGGGATTAGCTGATGGGTAATTGAGAGCAGGTAGGGGTGGCTGCAGGAGGTGACTGGGGGCATGCCTTTAGGGTGGATATTTTGTCTCTGGCAAGTAGAGTCTCTCTACTTCCTGATCATTATGTGAGCTGCCTCTCTCTACCACACTCTTCCACCATGATGTTCAGCCTCACCTCAAGCCCCCAGGAATGGAGCCGGCTGTGAATGGACTAAGATCTCTGAAACTGTGAGCCCTCAAATAAAACTCTCTTCCTCGACGATTGTTCTGGTGAGGTCTTTTAGTCACAGCAGCAAAAAAAGCTGACTATCTTCACAGGTATCCTATGGGGTGGGTAGTGATCTTATTTCCACTTTAGAAATGAGGAAGCCAAGGAAAAGAGGGATTAAAAAGTAGCCAGGAAAAATGATAAAACCAGAAAATCAAATAACTCCTGGTGTCCTATGACTAAAATGTGATGAAACCAACCCAGCCTAGAAAATAAGTGAGTTTGGCGACACAATAGCAGAGGACTCTTGGAAGAGAGGAGAAAGGTCAGCCACTGCCCTTAAGTGCCCTCCATGGATGAGCCAAAGTAGTCTTCACAACCCTCCTTCAGGCAGGAGGGAGTATTCTCTTTCCCACTCTGTGCTAAGATTTGGATGTGATATGAGCGTGCCCCCCACCCACGCCCCAGGGTTCTTGTGTTGACAACTTGGTCCTGGGTGTGGTGATATTGAGAAGTGGAGGAACCTTTAGAAGGTGGGACTTGGTAAAAGGTAATTAGGTGGGGGAGGTGGACTGAACTAAAAGTAAAGTAGTAGCTCACGTGGGATTCTACACAGATCTCTAGAGGGAAGGTGGTTATAAAAAGGCAGGACTGGCCTCTCTAAGCTTTCTGGTTTCCTGTCCATACCATGTGATCCCTATCACTCTCACACCCACAGGAAGGCCATTGGTCTTGAGATGTTGCCAGAGCTGGCACCATGATGTTTGGAACTTCAGCCTCCAAAACCGTGAGTTAAATCAACCTCTTTTCAAGTTACCTAGCCTAAATATTTTGTCATAGTGTTACCCCTGTTTACTGTTGTGACGAGTCTTTGCTTCCCCAATGCTGAAGTATAACTCCAGAGAAGCACCCCAAGGCAAGTGTAGAGGGGAAAGTAGAAGCTTTATTAAGGACAGCAGAAAAGACTCCTCCGGGAGGAAGAAGGGGACCCAAGAGGTGGAATCTGTGGGAGGGGGAGAGGTTTTCCCTCTTTTACAGCTAAGGTCTTCATTCAGCTTTCCTGCATGCATTTCTGTCGGTGTTCCTGTCCTTTGTTCTGTTATCTTGCAGTGACAGAATGTAGGTGGGGAGACCCAAAAGGTGAGGGGCTTAGGGGTCAGAGGAGTAATCTTGGGCAGGAAGGGCCTGAGGCCTCTTTTGATTAGCACCTCCCTATTTGCTGGGAGCTGTTTCATTAACATTTCTTTAGAATGGGCTCTGGGCCTTGGGAACATTAACATTCCAAGTGCTGCTCTGCTTTCCCTGGCTCCATTCTCAACATGGCCTTCCTTTTCGATTTTACTTGATATTAGAACCGATTTACCTAACTACACTACCTATCTTTAAATCTGGCTTCAGTAGTAGCTATGGAAAACAGACTAATACACTTTACAGGAAAAGAAAATGAGGCACAGGGAAATTAACTTACTTAAAATGGCAAGGCAAATGGTAGGATGATGATTCCAACTGAGTAATCTAGATGCGGAGCCTGTATGTGATGCAGCTCTCAATACATCATGTGCTCCTCTCCCCCATTCGTCAGGTGAGTCATACAGAAAACAGGTAACTCTGAGGGGAAAGGATGTCCTGAAATGGAAACCAGTCATCTTGCTTTACCTCCATGGTGGGGATAACAGGTTTTTGATCTAAGCATATATATTTCAGATATTCAATCATCTATTCACTCTTTCATTGGTAAATAAGGACTCAAAAAGCTTCTTTGTCTCTCACTGGGAAGAAGTTGGGGCTAAGTAATAGAATACAGTTATTCCAAGGAGAAACTTATTTAATCCTCCTCATCATCTTACAAATGGAAGATGGCTTATCACCATTGTGTTGATAACCTGAAGCTCTGAAAAACCAATTGCCAGTGATCCTAAAACTTGCATGTGATGGTGCCTTGTCAGTGTCTACACACCTGAAGTCAGTGTCATGCACCTGCAGTGGGGGCGCGTAGGAGAGGGGGATGGAAGATCTATGTTCTACAGATCTTCCAATCACCTTGATTTCCCATGAAACAGTAGTGAACTATTAGCAACAAGTACGGCATAAAAACAAAAGAAAACAAAACGCAATCTTTCATTTAATCCTTTATTTGAACATCAAATATGTTGAGAAAATGTTTTACAGGTGCTAAAGCATCCTGCTGGATTCTTTACTTTTTCAAGGTGCAAAAGAGGTTTACAAGTGTGTTTCATTAAACAAAGCAAAGCTGCGACAAAATGGAATCACATCAATAATGGTACGCATCAGCATGAGCGCATATCACTCCATCAAACACAATTGGGCATTTGAGCCTTTTCCCATAAAACAAGAGCTCTACACTGAAGAATATGTGGTGCACCAAAAGCATCGTTTATATCTGTGAGAGAACAAAAACTGGCTTAATGTCACTTATTAATTCAAGTCTCTATGACCAATGACCTCTCTGTGAACACAAAGGGGTCCATGTCTTAGGCACCTGTTCATGGGACTAAATGTTATTTCGAGGGTGCACAGCTCATAAAAACACACTAAAGATGGGTTTGGTTGGGACATGGCAGCATTTACATATTTTAAAAGTTCAGGCACATTTGGATGCGAAAAAAAAAATAAAAGGAAAGAACAGAAATTTTTCTTGAGTCTCTAAAAGACAGTGCAAAATTGAAGTGCCATAATAGAGGCAGTAATTATTAGAAAGTAATTTTAAATGACTTAAATAAAAGACCACACCTTAATTTAAATGGAAAAGAAATGCAGCTAGAAACAGAGCATAATCACACTAATGAAAAGATGGATATTTGGGACCACAGTTAAATTCATTTGCTCCAGTTAAGAGTAAGTAAATTTTCGGGGGATTTAATCTAGGGAGTGTGCAGTGTTATCTGGATCAACCTCCCAAGACTTGCATGGAAGAGAATCACAGTTGCCTTATGAGCTACTCTGTAACTCTATTTGCCTTTCAAAGAACTAGTTTCCCCAAGCAGATCTTCCTGTGAATATATAGTCATTACTATGGTCCTAGTGATCATCCCCAGTATCCACAGTCCGTCACAGAGTTGCAAAGTATTAATAGGAAAGGATTCATAATTGGTTTCATGTAGCGATAGAAGTCTTCTAAACAAGTGGCCTAAATCAAGGGCCATTTCAATGAGTAAAATTTTAAATACAGAACACCTCAATGTGATTAAGAGTAAATTATCAGTAAGTCACTTATTTCTTCAGCCTCCAAAAGGCATAAGACATGGCATAGTTAAGCATATTTGCAAGACTACTAGGGAAATCTATCGAAGATTGCACTGCCTTATGGGCTGAATTTCACAATCTCCATCAATAGGGTCTTCTCTTTGGAATACCTAGTCTCCTTATTTCTGCATGATAGCATTACAGCATCATTACAGCAAGCTAGGCAGTGTGTAAAAGAAACTCAGACCCCTAACTATTCTTTGGACGTCACTGCTGATGCCACTTACTTCCCCAGAACTCAAGCCGCCATTTTGGAAATGGCTGTCAATGGAGCTAGTTATTTTTGGATTACAGTGCACAAGTAGAATACTGAAACTTGGTGCCAGAATACTTTCAATATTCTTATTCCCCTTTTTCCCATACATCAATCTCCCAAACCCACTTTCCCATCCTATCTGTATCCTCCAGGTAGATCATGTCTTTCAAACTTTAAGTTGGCTCAAAGTGGGGGGAAAGGACAGGAAAAATTATCCAAAATCTACCCTATACTCTACAGCAACATCAGCTGGAAAATGTCAGCAGCTCATTATTGACACTTCAAATAAGGATAAAAAGAGATTTCCAAAATTGTTGTAATTCCCGGGCTAACATTTCAACCATCTAATGTTCTTGGCCCGTTTCAAATGTAGTAGTATCTTGACATGAATACAAACACAGTAGATGAATAATGTAAAACCCTCCACTGTATTATTGTTTGGATTTAGCTGGTATTACATCATCTATAGTCCTAGAGGTTTTTTTTTTTATTTTGTTTTTATTTTTTTAAAAGAAAATCTCAGTATAAACATTAAAAAGAACCCACTGACCCATTAGCTACTGTCCAAAAATATTACTACTGATATTTTGGTAAAAGCAAAATTAGCTGCCCTGAATAATTTTCCTTTTCAGGCATAATCTCTGCTACATAAGATTGTCTTATCATTCAATATCCAACAATAGGCATGTGGATTAGTGCTATTTTGTCTACTGTGGATACAAAAGTTGATATGAAATGTGATCTTCATTTAAATGAATAATCACCAGGTTTCAGGCATCAATAACTGCATACATGACAAGGTAACTTGAAAAGTATACAAAAAAGCTAAATATTTTTCCTTGGTTTTTGCATGTTAACCCAGTCAAATTAAATCCAGAACAGAATCATTACATTCAATTGTCTGATAAACAAGCAATGCAATTTCAAAAAAATATATATTATACTATATAAGGTGCTTCTTAAACAAACAACAAAAGAATTATGTTCTTAAACATATTCTTAATGCAGATACATAAAATTGCCCCCAAATTTAGATGCTCATATAAATGGAAAAAAAAATTTTTTTTTCTTGGCCCTCCAGTTTCCCAGTCCTTTGGTAGAAATTTAACTGGGCAACCAGAAATTAATCAAACTTGCTTTTCCAAACAGGACATACCAAGAGAAGCCTAGTAGCTCTCCAGGGGTGTTGGCAAACATGTCACTTCTCAATGGGGTTCAAATTACAGACTATGAAGTCAGGGAAGGAAATCAAACTTACTTCTTAGCTTAAAAAAAGGAAATAGCCCACAATTGCATTAAAGAAGCAAAGACCCCAATGCTGGTCTCCTCCTGGCTTATGAAGTTTTAGGACAGGAGATGGGGGGTGGGACGGGGAGGGGCTGATTTCTTCCCAAGGGCATGTGCAGTTTCACCAGCCCCCACAGCCTGAGTCCAGTGCTCCTGTCACTTCTCTCCTTCCCTCCTTCCCTGCCAGGAGCATGCTGGGCTAACTATAGGCACACAGCTATCCACTGCTGTTCTTCCAATGAGGACCACTCAGAAAGCAAGAAGGGCAGACTACCCTGTGGACCCTAGAACAGCCCACTGTGCACTGCAGGGTGGAGGGCCTGGGAGATGCATCCTGGGAGCTGTGGCCTGTGGCCATGCTACTCTGAGCAAGGCTGACCTTGCTTTACAGATTTATCCAGTTTCTCCCCTGCTTACTTTCCTCTGGAGCAGCCACAATCATCATGCAGTGTTACTATTTAGCCCCATGCCCCAGGGCTAAAAAAAAAAAAAAAAATTCAAACACCAGGAGGAAGCCGGCTCATTGAAACTCCCCTTTTTCCCCATGGGCCTTACATGTTAAAATTCAGTGGAGCTCACACCAGGAAGATCCAAGGACAGCGCCCTCTGCTGATAAATAGGAGACCCCACAGCGACAGGTCCTGAAAGCTGTTTCACTGCAAGTCCTGGGGGCAGAGGGCTTGCTTCCATAAATAAAAATTAAAACAAAAAAACTCGAGCTTGTCCCTCCTACAGAGAGACTGATCTGTGTGTGGGTGACTTAATTGAAATCGACTTGCTGACTTCCCACAGGGCCTTGGGAAGCAAGAATTAGCCAGAACCCATGATCTGTATGTAGTGCTCTAGAAATACAGCAGTAGAGATGTCAGCAAGTTGACATGATCTTGACAATCAGGGGGTCTTCCTTCCCTGTGTGTGTCTTGTATTCCTATAGGTGAAATGAATAGACAATCACTAAATATAATGCTACAGCCATGCAACAGAACAAAATGATAAAGGCATCACCTTGATAAAGTGACACATGACTACAGGAATACAAGAGGATGCTAAGGAACCCTTGAGCTAGCTTTCTCAATGTCATAGGTTAAAAGAGCCACTATCAATTCTTTCCTGAGGCTTTTTCTTGGAGCCACCACAAAGTGCTTATCAGAAGTGAAATGGCCACTCTCGGGGCCTGGGCCTCAACAAGTAGTTTCAATGCACAGTCATCTCATAGGTTGAGTTCAGTCGCGAAGGGCTATGGGAATCCTCATTCTCAGTCAGGTAGCAAAGGGGGAAGAGAGCTGTTACCAAGAATTGGCCTTGGACTCCCTTTGGCTGTTCCTAACAGAAGATGTATCACTAAGAACTGAGCAAGCAAATGAATGGCCACTCATACTAGAAAGCCACTGGTGGTGGATGCATGCCTGGTGTGTGCAGGAGACAGAATTCTGCTAAAGTGATGCTTGGCTTGAGTAAAATGCTGCAGGGGTTCTCAGAGCTTTGGGAGAGGCCGAGAGCTCTCACATTGTGTTGGGGAAACCCTCTGCTTCCTGGGGGATGTAGTATGTCTGCAAGGAATGTGCTGAAGTGGAGCCCGTGGTGGCCAGCAGGCTCTGGCTAGACTCCTCTGGGGACCCTCCTCCACGGCTGGCTGGGGCGTGCAGGCGGTGGGCATCCAGCATCTCCAGCAGCAGGTCGTACAGGGGCACCACGTTCTTGCACTTCATGCTGTACAGATGCTCCATGCCCTTGTTGCTGGGGAGGGGGCACAGAGAGGACCACATTAGACACCAGCAGAGCCCCAGGACACCTGAAATTCCCAGGGGAAGTAAGAAGGACTCCAGGGACGCTTGTAAACCAGTCTCCCTTCCCGTTTAAAGACCCATCTTTGGACGGCACCTGCAGAAACTTGCGGACTGCTGAGACCCACTTATCTTCATTTGTGTTTCATTTTCCCATCCTACAAGGGCAGTCCCACCCCCCACAAACCCACTCTCCCTCCAGTCTCCTCACTGACAGCGTACTGTTTACGCAGGTGACTTTCATCCTGGCATGAGACCCCATTCCCCTCTCTCACCTTTACAGGTAAAAAGAGAGAGAGGTACAGCCAGGCAGGAGTGAAACTTCGATATCTGAAGCTGTTCAAGAAGCTCCCTTGCTTAAACCTCTCCATGGCTTCCCAGCAAACTCAGAACAAAACAGAAATTTCTGTCCACACTCTCCAAGGCCCAAGTGACCTTCCTTGTCCTCCTTCACGGTTCTCATCCTGTCTTCTGTCCCTAACTCACACTCCTTAGCCACACTGGTTTTTGTGCTGTCCTGGTAAAGGAACTAGGATCCTCCTAGATTTAGGGGCTCTGCACCTGCCAATCTCTCTCCCTGGATGCACTTCCCTAAATCTTCAAATGTCACCTTCCTCTGGGAAGTTTCCACTACCCCCATGGCACGAGGCCTGGCCCTACAGTCTGAGCTGCTCTCTTGAGAATTGTTCCGTCTTCCTTCTTACAGTTAACACAACCTGGAATTCTCCTGTGTGCTCATGTGTGTTTATTCCCCCCCACACACACACACACTCCACACACACACACACACACACACACACACACACACAACCCAGCATAGTACAAGTTACAGGAGGAGAGGATCTG